AATTGACTTTTAGTTAATAAATGTTAAGTCGCCCACGGAACTTCAGAATTACTAACATTATTTTGAAGCCGTTTACAACTTGGTAGCAGCGGGCACGGTTAATAACACACACACAGAGTACTAACACACACACACAGAGTACTAACACAGAGTACTAACACACACACACAGAGTACTAACACACCAGTACACACCACACCCGAAGGACATACATACCCAATGGACGCACAACAGTTTGAAACATTCTTACAAACGTTTACCGCGGGCCTTGCTGGCATCGTTACGCCACAGAATAATAATGATCGAGGCAACAATGCACGAATTGCAGTCAAAATTCCTACCTATAGAGGAACGCCGGAAGAAAATGTGTTGACATGGATGTTACAAGTCCAAAATATATTTGCCGCTCAGAAAATCAATTACGTATACATTATGCTGCTACAGGCTTTGAGGGAGCCGCTCTTCATTGGTATCTGAATCGTGTACAGGCCGCTAATATTGCTAACCAACAACACGTATTCGCTGACTGGACAGCCTTCGCTAATGCACTCCGTGCTGCATTCCAACCTCCTAATCACCAACAATACCTCCGTCAACAACTGAAGAAATTGCGACAAACTGGATCAGTACAAGAATACGGTATGCGATTTCGAAACTTGTTGGGACAAATAGAGGGAATGGGAGATCTAGACCAGGTTGCGTACTTTATTGAAGGCCTCAAACCAGCCACCCGAATGGAAGTCAGTTACCAAGCTCCCACTGATTTTGAGACAGCCTGGACACTTGCTGTTCGATATGATATCGCCATGTACGGAATAGGGAAACCTACGCAACGTCATAATAATAATGAAAATCTATCATCGCTACGTCATCATCGTGACCGCCGATCACCATCACCGAATAATAACAACCAATCAACTCCGATGGAAATTGATCAAGTCGAGAAAAGACAATCATTGTCATCCGAAAATAGAAAGAAAAAGCAGCTATGCTATAACTGTGGAAAGCCCGGTCACTTTGCGAACGTATGTCGTAGTAAGCGAAATACTACCGTTAATCGAATTGAAGAATCTCGTACTCCGTCACCCACCGCTGAAATCGGTCGTCTTGAAGATAACAAGGAAGAATTATTACGATTTAATGGAAAAATAAACGGAAAACCCGCCTGGATCCTGCTCGATAGTGGAGCATCAAAAAATTTCGTCAGTAAGAAATTCGCGCAAACACATCGTCTAACAGAAACACCAACTCCAAAACTGACAGTAGAACTAGCCGATGGACGAAAGACAGAAGTTGAGAGTAAAGTTGAAATGCACGAATTAGAATTGAGCAAATATCGAACCTCTGGGATTGTTGCTCAAATTATAGACTTATAACGATACGATGCCATACTGGGAAAACCTTGGTTATACATGCTAACCCCAATATTAACTGGAGAACCAACACTATCACTTTCCAGTACGGACAACGTACGATTAAAGTCAAAGCAACACCTCAAAAGACAATCACAGACGCCGAATGTTCAACCACTTTTATTTCTCGTCAACAACTAGCACGAACGTCGGATGATGCCGAATTATTTGTTATTTACGCCGCCGACACCGAAACACCGAATACACAATACGAAAACGTCGAGTCAAACTCTGACCCCGAAGAACAAGCCATATATACCGAATTTGCTGATGTATTCCCTGACGAATTACCAAATAAGCTACCGCCTAGTCGAACCATCGATCATGCCATTGAATTAGTCCCTGGAGCTGAACCGCCATCTAAATCTACATACAAACTCTCTTACGTCGAGATGAACGAATTAAAGAAACAACTCACAGACCTCTTGAGTAAAGGATTTATCAAACCGAGTACCTCACCCTATGGCGCACCTGTATTATTCGTACACAAAAAGGATGGAACTTTACGTCTTTGTGTTGATTATAGAGCGTTAAATAAGGTAACAATCAAGAATCGATACCCATTACCACGTATTGAAGAACTTATGGATCGTCTAGTTGGAAGTAAATACTTCAGTAAGATTGACCTATACTCTGGCTATCATCAAATCCGAATAAAAGAAGAAGACATTCCGAAAACCGCTTTTCGTACAAGATACGGCCACTATGAGTTCTTAGTCTTACCATTTGGTCTTACTAATGCTCCCGCTACATTCATGACGCTTATGAACGATATTTTTCGAGAATACTTGGACAAGTTCGTTGTCGTCTACCTCGAGATATTTTAATCTACAGTCGTACTAGAAAAGAACATTTAAAACATGTTCGTATCATCCTCCAAACACTTCGAAAGCATCGACTATATGCTAAAGCAAAGAAATGCGAATTATTTCGTAAGAAGGTAGAATATACTGGACATTTTGTATCTGAAGAAGGAATTACAGTCGACCCAAGAAAAGTTGATGTAATTAAAAATTGGTCTACACCTACCAATACCTCCGAATTAAGATCATTCTTAGGGCTCGCCAGCTATTATCGAAAATTTGTATCAGGCTTTTCAGCAATCTTCCACCCAACACACACCTCCGCAAGTGCCCCGACAATAGCCAAAATATTCTTTGCTACAGTATTTGAGAACCATGGATTACCTCGAACTATTATTTCAGACAGAGACTCCAAATTCACCAGTCGTTTTTGGCAGGCACTATTCAAACACCTCGGAACAAAAACCGCAATGTCAACAGCATTCCACCCTCAAACGGACGGACAGACTGAGCGACTCAATAGGACGTTAGAAGAAATGTTACGTATTTATGCTACATACAAGCAAGACGAATGGGACGAATATTTATCTGCTGCAGAATTCGCGTATAATAATTCTAAACAAGCGTCGACAGGATTTACGCCGTTCGAGCTTGATAATGGTCAACACCCTCATACGCCTATTACACTGGCCAAAAAGAGTATTACTAACGTAGCGGCAGCGAATGATTTTATTGAACATTGGAGTAATATGATAACGATCGCTAAAGATCATTTACGGGAAGCCCAAGAAAGACAAACAAAATATGCTAATAATCATAGACGACATTTAGTGTTCAAAACTGGTGATCAAGTATTACTCTCCATGAAAAATACTAATAACCCAGTTGACAGAAATCGACCCACAAAGAAATTGACTCCGAGATTTATGGGACCATACACAGTTATACAAGTTATTTCGCCAGTAGCATATAAGCTGAACCTTCCCGAAACAACGAAGACTCACCCTATCTTTCATGTCTCACTTTTAAAACCATATCAACACTCACCCGACGAATTTGCGAGACCGACACCACCACCACCAGCCATTGTCGAATCTGATACTGAACGAGAAGAATATGAAGTCGAGACGATATTAGACAAAAGGATTATCCGAAAGAAAATACAATACTTGGTTAAATGGGTCGGATATCCATTACACGATGCAACATGGGAACCTGTGCAGAATTTATCAAACGCGCCGGAAAGAATTAAGGAATTCGAATTGACGAGGACGTCAAATCTTAAGGAGGGGAGAATGTAACAATCTGTAATATGATGACGACGGAGTAATAGTGAAGACGATATAATAAACGTTACGTCATATGCTGATGTC